ATATTTCAGACTAACATAGCTATGTCTCTGAATACAAACTAACAGTTAGTGACTAGGGGCATTCAAAGGTTGATGACTCTGCATAATTTTAACATTTCTTTCAATGATTAACCCTAGAACCCACAGAGGGACTTTCTATATCCAGTGGTTTCCCTAGGGTTGGTGTCACCTGGTACAGTAACTCATGATGTCACCCCCTCCATTGACCTCTTCCCATTTCATACCATACATCCTTAGTAATGCTTTTTTCCACTAATGTTACTCATAAATCCTAATTCCCATATATAATTGGAATGTAATGCTAATAGTTGTGACACAAACAACTAGCAAAACTAAAACTATACCCTCAAATTACAATATTATACTCAAAACCTAAATGTATTTACATATATGTAGTGAAGATTTTTGTTAAAATGTGATGTTTTTAAAAAATAAAATAAAAAGAATTTCATTTTTTTAAAAAAATATATATTTTAATTTTTGTAATTTTTAAAAATTCTGGGGCCTCTCCTTTCTCCTCCCATTGAGCTTCACACCACTCCCACCATCTCTTAAAGCATTTTGACGGGAAATGCTAAATGATAGGTATTTGAGGAGCAGTGGTGTCACCCCTTTAGGGTGTCACCTGGTGCAGTCTGAATGCCCTGAACCCCCTAGTGATACCACTATCTATGTATGACTCTTAACATAGTACTCCACCAGCCTAAAACAGCTGTTTGGAAACACTCACACAAAAATATCCTGGAAAAATTTCCCCTCTCCACAACTGTTAGACAACACAGGGAGCCTTTTCAGTAACAGAAAATGGAAACAGGTTTGATGTTGATCTGCACTGGGACCACTGGGGAAACACATGAAGCTCTTGTGTTTTATTTGTCCTACCCCTATCCAGTACAGACATTGGATCTGCTCTTATTTTTGTCCATCCTATTTTGTCTTCAACTTAACCTACCACTGATCTGTGGCCACGGGTGGCTTACTTCTGAGGCGACATAGTCCAAGAGAGAGAAAATATGTCCCACCATTAAATTAAACAATCAAAATGGCTTCCTATGGCTTGTGACAGATTATAAGAACATGTTGCTGAATGATTAATACATAAAGTCATTTTTTTCTTCTTTTTAAAAAGGAACTTGTGTATACATTTTACCTTGAAGGCACTGGAGATCTAAAGGCTCTGTGTGCATGTCTCTCTGTGTGTGCATGCATGTGTTTTAAATCAAAGGTGGAATTCTCATCTGGGATAAGACAGAATAAGTCCTCTGAAAGTCAATAGAGCTATTCAGATTTATGCCAGTTAAGGATCAGTCTTAAAAGCTTCCAAGTCTTAATTAACTTTGTGCACCATTCTTAACACATAATATTCTCAGATGAATTAATGTTTAAGCTGTTATCACCTGTGAGCTGGAGAGTATGTATTTGAATAGACAATTATCCTCTCTCTTTTCTTGTGCAGTATTATTTAGCTTCTATAAAATAGTTGATATTTCTTCCTTCCCCCATCTTCAGTGAAAGCAACACCAGTTTTAGGTTCTGTAAGGAATTTAGAAGTATGTGCTACAAGAATTGTCGGTTCCACTAGAAGAGAAGCTTCTTTCTTTCTTTCTTCTTAAACAAAAACAATCCAGCAATCTTCTGAATGTAGAAGACAAGGTGTCAGGATCAGTGGACTCAGTTCCCAATAACCAAGAGAACATCTTAGTGTGATTAAAACAAAAGATGTTATTCCAGAAATTAAGACAGAAGTTCCTCTGTCCAGAGTTCGTGTTGGAACTGAAAAATTTCCCCCCTGGATCATACTTAAGAGTTCCCATCATCCAGCCCCCCTCCCTGGCTGCAATCCCACACTTTTGATCTGGATCAAAGTGACCTTTCATGTTTCCTCTTCCTTTTTCTGCATTATCCTGCATTCAATTACACTTAAGAAAAGAGAGAATCCCTGGTTACAGCCCTGATCTGCTAAAGGAACAACAGGGTCATAAAACCACAAATCTATCTTACTTTTGGCCATTTCCCCCCTCCTGTTGTTTCTCAAGCTTGGCTTCCCCCATGATTACCATTTCCCTTTCAATAAACCAGCATTTTATCATAACACTATATCACCATATCATCTTATCATCATATCATCATTGCATCATATCATCATGACATAACCACGTATATGGATCTGACACAAGGTACAAAGCATAAACCTGGCAATTGCCAGTAAAGCCAGAAAATACTTTATTGAAAGTAATGGTAGACTCTGTAATTTCAATGGGGCATTTTCATGGTTCATATATATGTGGTTTTTTTTCTCTTCATTTTTCCCTTTATTATTAAGTGATGGATAAATACTGTAATTCTCATTATTGACTATTTTTTATTGATTAGAGTCAAGTGTTGGATAAATTTCACATTTTGAAATTAAGACTGTTGTATCACTCATACTTTGCAAGTTTGTTTAAAGAAATGCATGTAAGAACTTACTGAAGAAAGATTATTTTAAACCAATTTCTTTTTTTTAAAAAAAATATTTTATTAATTCTTCAATAGTTAAACTAAACACATAGATTCCATACACCCCTTACATCAACATCAACAATTAGCCATATACAATAACATATAAATGAATAAAAGTAAAACAAAACAAAAAACTAAACTATGCATATACTACATATTACACCATGTCAACACAACACATATTTCAGTCATTACTTCCTAATTGTTTGTATTCACCTTATTCAGTTAATATCCTTGATTTTCTTACCAATGTATTTAATCTTGCGGTCACTGTACCTATATTTATATTTTTCTTTCTGTCATTTTCATAGTTAGTTTTCCTTTTTTTGTTGTTGTTTTTGGTCCAATACTTTTCAAATCTGTATGAAATTATCACTTAGATGTTTCTTGAATTCTCTTAATTGTGATAGTTCCAAATTCCAAATTGTTGCTTCTGCCATTTATTTTTCAATGTTCTTTAAATCTAGCCATTTTGTTTTCCATTTTTTTTATCGGTTCCCATTCTTCTTCTATTTTATCTGTTGCTTTATCATTCATTAACACTTTCAAAATATCTAAATCCATTGCTTCTTTAAGTTTTACTAACCATTCTTCATTAGGTGGAGGGGTTTTTTCCCCTACATTTTTCCAGTATTTACTGTAGAGAGTTCTAGCAAATGTTATCATACACAGTAGTATTCTTTTGTATTTCTTTTTCTATGTTCTACATCATGTTTAGCAAGAAGTGCTCTGGATTTAATGTTATATTTATCTGTAATATCTTTGAGATCATACTATGTATTTATTTCCAGTATTTTATTGCCCTCAGGCATTTCCACCACATGTGATAGAATGATCCAGTACTCTCTTGACATTTCCAACAATTTATTTTGCCTGTATTGTATATTACATTTTGTTTTGTTGAGGAGAGATACCAACGATACCAATGATACATAATTTTTATGAAAATTTCTTTGTAGTTTTGACATAGAGTGAATTTATTTGTATCTTTCCATGTTTTCACCCATGCTTGGAATTCAATATTTTACCTATATATTTATCCCATGTAATCATTGTTTGTTTGACTGTTTTGACTATTTTGAACCAAATTCATATTTTCCAGACTGATAGCAACAATTTTCTTTTTGATTTATCATTCATGCAACATTTTCTGTGTTCTTTATATCTGGGCATGCTCCATTTGTAAATTTAGTATGGTGAAAACTGCATATAAAAAGTTTGTTACAATCTTGATTATCATTTTTTTTGTTATATCTGTAATCCATTTGTGAATCATCATATTGTTGATAAAATGTATGTTCTAGTATATTTTATTGTCAACTGTTAAGTTATTTACCTGGATGTTACATGTTTTTGATACAACTACATGGTGTATTTATTGCCATACATTGTACTAATATATTGGTAGGATCTTGAAGCAATATTACCTTTCTTCAGGAAAACTGTCCAACATTGAAATCAAAGAGTCATGCACCCACAGGTTTGTTTTTTTTTAGTTGAAATGATAAAGTTTTTAGTTGTCCAGCTGTGTTGTAGCCTATTGACTGGGTTATGCATATCTAGTTCACACTCTGATTGTTTGATACAAATGTGTCATAAGAAAGCATAGTTCAGATTTATTTTTAAACTGAACAGAGATGGAATTTGCCTAGTTGCCAGTATATACAAGTTTTGAACCTCCATTACTTGCTGAACAAACATCTCCAGTAGTAAGTTATTCTGGTGGTTCCAGCACCATAAATGCAAATATAAAAGAGGAACAGTTTTTTATTGCTCCCTCTTATAAACTTTAATTGTTTATTGTCTTCAAAGGCAGATGCATAAAAAAGTTCAATCTATTTTGAATAGGGGTAAAAAGTCTCTTGGAAAGAATTTATAACTAACTCTTGAACATTACATTGACATAGAAGACTATATTTTTAAGAAAATGTTGTAGTTGGAGATCCTTTCTCCCTGTTTAACATTACATTCACTTTGCCACTGCATCTAGAATAAACAGCTGTTCTAATCCTGAGCCTAAACTCAAGGAATGTTGAATAGTGTTGTACAAAATTGCCTATTTTATTTCTACAGATATTTATGCCTGGCTGACAAGTGACACTATACATTTGGGATATTCATCTGGAAAAGCAGGTGTATAATTTTTCCAAGAATATAATTTTTGTGAATGATCATGTTGCATGCTTGTTCATATCCAAGCACAAAAATACATTGTTATCTATTGGAATCTTTTCATTTCAGGAACATCCTACAAGGCAGTAAGGAATGCTCTCCTTCTCTTCAGGTCCTTGTTAATGCTTGAAATTTTTTGAAATGTAGAAAGGGAGATAGAAAATTTTATTCCTTCCTCTTCTTTTCAGCCACCATGAAGATTTCTGTGGTGTCTTCCATTCACAGGTTAGAACATACATTAGAGAGACAACAAAAAAAGTTGAACTTTACCAGTTAAAGTGCTATCAAACTACATGATTACTTCAGTGAAGATGCAGTGTAAATGAGTCAGCATGGTGTAGTGGTTCCACGTTGGATTATGACACCGGAGACCAGGGTTCAAATCCTGGCTTGACCATGTAAATTCATTGGCTAACCTTGGGCATGTCACACTCTCTCAGCCTCAGAGGATGGCAATGGCAAACCTCTTTGAAGAAACTTGCCAAGAAAACCAAGTTTGCCTTAGGGTTGCCATAAGTTGGAAACCACTTGAAGGCATACAACAACAGAATTACCACAGGTGGCCTCATTAACTTGACATAGGAATTTATCACATGGGGGAAATCCCATGCAGAAATGGGTTTTAAATAGTAAAAAACACACAAAAGTGGGTAGATTTTCAGACAATGTCACTGAACAATAAGTAGTCAAAAGCTGCTTCTTTTTACTTTCGGAAAATCCCGAAAGTTAAAAGGAGCGGCTTTTGACTACTTTCCATTTGGGTTAACCCAACTTTAACAGCAATGTGTGTGAAAATCAACCTGTTTTTGCAGGTTTTCCCCAGCTTTTAAATCCCATTTCTGCATGGGATTTCCCGAGTATGATAACTTAAGTTGGAAAACAGTGTTTCTGATATTTCTGTTCCTGACGTTTAAATTGTTGACTTATGATAGAGTTCAGAGACTCAGTTTCCACCTTCACATCTGCAAGCACAGCTCTGTTTCTGTCACAGTAAAGCTGCCAGTCTCCTGGTGTTCTTCTTCTCCTTCTTCAACCAGGGAGGTCTCCTCCAGCTAAGAGGTCATGGCTCTCATTGCCTCTGTTCTTCTGACATTAGCAGCAACAGAGGACCTACATTTGTCTGCCCCCTGCCCCCCACATTAGCCACTAAAATACTCATGCTGGGTGAGTGGGGTAGCGAAAGTGAGGATTGCCACTGCTGCCTATTTCAGAAAAGGTGAGATTGAGGTAAAAATCCCATTCACACAATTGTTCCCTTGTCTCCTTTTCCATTGGCCACTACAAGGGCAATGTAGAACAATGAGGAACACCCAAAAGAGGAACACTGTTTTGTGGGTGGAAACTTTCTCCACCCCTTTATAGTACTTGGACATGTGATTACAGTATGAAAGAGAAAATGATTCAATTGCTCATTCTTCTTTGTGGGAATAAATAATTTAAAGAAGCACATCACTAACACATGGGTAGACACAACAGGAAATAAGGACAGTGAGGAATGGTCATCAAGAATAACCCTGGAAATTCTGTATTGGAGATCCATGGAATAGAAATCGCCCAGACATTAGCATCACCTGGGTACTTGAGCCTTTTCTATGGAAAAACTTGATCATGTATAACATTGGCTTCCGCATTCACAATGGAACCCATTTGCACATGTGGTTCATTCCATTAAGACTTCTGAATACTAGCAAAAGTTCAAGAAGTGTGCTAATTCTGCTTATCCTTGCCATAGTTTCCTGTGGATAATAGCACAAATGGCATTAACTAATGCAAAGAATATTTTCATCTGCATTGCTGTGCTATGCTCATATCTTTCACCATCTGCTACACGTTGTGACATTGGGCCAGGGCATTTTGATTGGTCCCCACACAATACTGGAGGGGGGGGGGGATGACATTACAATTGAATGCAATGTACAGCAAAAATGTTCTGCTATTTCCAGATTGTTCTTTAGTGCTCCAGCTTTGTTGAATAGATTCTGAAAATAAGATTTTCAAAACCCCGATATGGTATAATGATAGAGAAAATAATGTGATTGACTGCTTGTCCACTGTAGGTATGGAATATCTTCATACTAGCTGTATCTGCAGAAGTCATCTGAAGTTATCTCTGTGTGACCCTAATCTTTGAGAACATTTCCTTGCCAGCTGGAGAGGATAGTGGGACAGCAGTATTTCAAAGACATTACCTTAAGGAGTTTTTGCTGTTGTTGTTGCTGTTGTTGTTTGTTCTGTGATTTGCTCTCCTGCTGCTCAGGGGAGTCCAACAATTAAAGCAGCAGCGAGTTAATTTTGGAAAACCAAATCTCCTGACACAGTGTTTCTTGGAAGGTAGTAACATCTTGTAAAATTGTACTTTTGAAATGGCATTGTAGGGGGGTTCTACATCTGTGGTCTGTCAATATTTCATACTGCAAACATAATCAGTTTGCACAAGCTAAAGAATGAAAAATACCGAGGCACTCATGGGCATTGCTGTCATGTCAAAAGAACCTGTACAAACAAAGAGGATTTTTTTCAGATGAATCTCACTTGGAGGATTGGGAATTTTGTTTCAGCACTTTCAACAATCTCATTCCCTACCTTTTATAATGATCTAATTCAGAATATGATCTTGTTCAAATTTTGGTTTGGCTGTATTATGAATCATACCCCCTCTCTCCCACCCCCGTCAGCTTGTTGAGAAAGAGAGAGAATGAGAGAGAATATTTATACACTTGCTTTTTGTTGTTGTTGTGTGCCTTCAAGTTGTTTCCAACTTATAACAACCTTAAGGTGAACCTATCATGGGGTTTTCTGGGGCTGAGAGTATGTAACTTGCCCAAGGTTACCCAGTGAGTTTCCATGGCTAAGAGGAGAATTGAACCCTGATCTCCAAAGTCATACTCCAATGCTCAAACAACTACACTATGTTAGCTTTCTATACACTTGCTTGTTTTATTTATTAGGTGGATTTATTAGGTGGATCCACAAACAGTCATACACAAAAAGAGGAAAATGCTTTGTTCTCATAGAAATCCTCAGTATTTACCATGAAAGCTTTTCCCCACCAAAATAATAATAATAATAATAATAATAATAATAATAATAAAGCAGGATGTTCTTTTGAATCTCTTTCCCTGAAGTCAGTGTGGAGTAGTGGCCAGAGTGCTGAACTGGCATCAAGAAATCAAGATTCTAGTCCCCATTCTGCCAGAAAGTACTCTAGGTGACTAAAGTTTCTCAGCAGGTTATTGTGAAGATAAAATGGAGAGGTAGAGGAGTATTATCTAAATTGTTTTGGGAAGCTTGGAGGGGAAAAGGAAGTTTATAATATCAAATTTTAGAAAGTCTAGCTGTATGAAATAAGTGTTTTGCTCAAGTGTCAAGCAGCAGTTGTTGAGATGGTTGTTAAGTTATGAAAAATTTTGTATGGGCATTTTGGTGAGTTTTTAACTGGAGTTCAGTTTACTGTTGTATTCTCTCAGCGTGGTTTTACATACTCTTCAACTGTCGTAAATTGACAGGGACAGTCCCAGTTAATCTTCTGTGGTCTCAATTTTCCAACTGCTTATGAAACCCTCCAGTTTCTTTCTCTTCCTTCCACCTTCCCTTTTTGGCCTCAACTTACTTCACTTGCTATAAACTGGATTCAAAGTGCAAAATAGTTCACACTCAGTGAACTCAGAAAGGAGGAGAGAAGATGGGGAGAAGAATCTTGCACTTCCCAGTAGGCTCAGACAAAAGCAAACCACTTCAGCTTCTCCTAGCTTGGCTGTTCTTCATTAAGAACTTCTATCATCTTGACCACACTCAGATGTTGCTTGGACATATGTCCCCCTTATCATTTGTAAAATATTGGATGATGATGGATTATGTCATTATTTAAACTCTTATTTCAGGCTGACTTGTAAAAAGAATGAGAAAACTGTATAAAATCAATTACTCTGCTACTGGCTACTGAAGATAGTGAGGTAAATTGAAAAATGCCTTGCATTTTTTCAATGTATTTGTCTGCACTATTTGTTGTCAATCTTCCATTAGTGTAGACATTCAAATTGAACTGATTTAAACGTATAAAGGATTGCATTTAATACTTTGGATTTTATTACAAACAATATGTAGAATGTGTTTTTCATGAACAATGCAGCAATGACAATGTTGATGGGGGTCCCTTCTGTGCAAATCTCCCTAGGTAGCCTCATGTATACAATTAGCTTTACGCTAAACCTTCAGCCACTATTCTGTCACTGTCTTACACATCCATACATTCCTCTGTAAAAATCTGGAGCAGCTCCAATCACTTCAAGGATGCAGAATGGAGTTGTACATGTGGCATTGTTGTGCATGGATGCACATGACACATGCATGTGCATTTTGCATTGTTCATGGATTTTATTCAGTTGCACATTTGATGTCTTGTCTCAGTTGTGTATAGTCAATCAGTAAAAGAGTTGTAGTCTGCCATTAATACGTAACTATACGAAAGACTGACATCACAGAACTCTGATGGAGGGTCTTATCTATTCAAGAGCAATACCTTTATTGTCCAAACAAAATGCCAAAATAATCATGTCAGATTTCAAAATTCCAGTGGCTTCTTCAAAATCTTGTATGATGTATTTTGTGCATTTTGGTTGAACAATAAAGTACTGCTCTTATGT